CCATTGAAGTTGATGCCTTTGTTTGAGGAAACAAACTTAAGCCAACTCTCCTTTCCAGGGTCTGTTCGCTAATTGAACGACACAGATGCACTTGTGTTCCTTGTTCCTCAGGCCGGAGTGGTCATTGGTTCTAGTCACACAGCTTTTTAGGGTTTAAGGTACTGTGACAGGTCTGATTATGTTTTTCGAGTCAAGATTTCAATTGTATTTCCTTTCATTATAAAGCTGGCGTAACGAAGTTAAAGAATTCCTGGAGAATTACGAAGTTGTTATTCTCCCCACCACCTACATGGCAGATTTGAGGATATTTTGATAGATAAAATGATGAGATGCTAGCTAATTTGTCCTGAAAAAACTAGTCACCGTGTGGACCAACCCAGTCTTACTTAGGAAGGTAAATGGAAACTGCAAAAGAGCAAGAATAAATCACAATCAAGTGAAGTTGTTGCTGGCTTATTTGTGGAGATTACATGTACAACAGTAAAAAGTTCTGTTTACAAAAACAATATATAGAGGTATGGGTTAATTTTATTTACATTCTGATTTTTTTTTTTTAGAGGTAAACCAAGATTTCATTTTCAAGATGGAAAACCCATCCGACTCAGCTGTGATTCTACCTAGCACTCCACGGGCCTGCGCCAATCCACCATCTCCCCGTACAAGTAGCACAAGAAAACAAGTATGAATATCTTAGTTCTTCCACTGGAGCTATTCTGTATTTCTAGGTATTGTGCCAGTAGTGGGTTTAATTCTACTGAAAATTGTCAATTAACATAATGTGTAGATCAGTAAGTAGATATTGAACTATTAAATAATTTTAGGTCTTTATCCTAAGACAATGTGTGTGACACCCCCCTCCCCCCATTTTCATCTTGAATCCGTTATTTTCATTTAGTTTCAGATCAGGTTACTACAAAATTCCAAACTGAGGAAGTTTGAATCTGCAGTATTCTGAAGGTCTTTGGTGGCAGGGATCTAGGTCTTTTCCTTAATTTGTAACTGAAGCACTCAGTAGTGTCAGGAATGTGCTAGTTGCTGAACAAATATTTGTGATGATAGGGATAAGCATCTCAACACTGTTTTAGAAGGGTTCTGACTTTGCTGAAATAAAAAGAATAAAATTAATGGGGCTTGCAGGAATTAAAGACATTTTGTGATGGTTACTTTAGATACATGGAGATATAAAGCCATCTAGTGGTGTCAACTAAAGAAATATAAGGTCTTTAATTCTAGTAGATTTATTTACACAGGAATGTTTTTCTTGATTAATGTTGTGTGCTTTTTTCAGCCTATGAGTGCAACACTTAGAGAACGATTGAGGAAAACTAGATCTTCATTTAATTCCTGTTACAGTGTGGTGAAACGTCTTAAAGTAGAGAATGAAGAAAATGATCAGACTTTTCCTGAGAAACCAGCATCTTCAACAGAAGAAAACTGTTTGGAACTTCAAGAAAGTTTTAAACACATAGATGGTGAATTCAAAGAAAGTACATATTTGAAAAATACCTTCAAGAATATCAGTGCATGTGAATCTAAATCTCTTGATACTGAGTCATGCAGTGATCTCCAAAGTGACTTTGTGAATGAGGATCTTCCCAAACAAGGATTAAGTGAAGAAAGAGCAAAATTGGTGAAGCAGATTGAGGAGAAAGAAGACTTTCTTCGGAGGCTAAAACTGGTCAAAATGTATAGATCAAAGGTGAGAATAATTTCAGAACCACTTAATTTTTTTTATTTTTAGATAAATGATAGGAAAGTAATTTCAAAGAGAAAATAAGTTTATTTAGACATAATGAGCAATAAGCCATTTATCGAGAAACCTGGCTTCCAACAACTGTAACTCAAATGTAAGTCATAGATTTAGAGTAGAAGAGGCCCCTAAATACCAGATACAACTTAGAAAGTCCCAGCTCTCATTTAATATGCAGTTGAAATTTTTCTCTCTAGTTTCCAGCCTGTAGCAATATTAGTATCAAATGATAGTTGCCAAGTACAGTGAGAACAAAAGTGACAGCTGCCAGTGACTGATTAAAAAAGCTAAAAATGGGCCACAAAGTACAATAAAAAATATTTTTAGTAATAGTCTTGTGTTCTTCCAACTTATTAAAATGTTCCAGGTATTTTGTTTGATAAAGCAACAAATATAAGATTTTTAGATTTCAACCCAGATAGGTTGAATTAAGTAGAGGTTGGGCACTTGGAAGAAGATAACCTTTACTGACCTGGATCATTCATGTATATGTAGTGGCTCCTTCTCCAGAATGTGGTATAAATGGGGGAATAGTAGATCTTATTTGCTGTCTTGAATTTTTAGGACTTTTCTAAATATAACTACTTGGGTCTTAGGAGATAGTGAATGTTGAAAAATATTAAGTTGAATATTTTAATTTATATTTATTATATTTTATTTTTATTAAATTGAATACTTTCAGTTTTTAAAAGTACAGCTATAATAGAAAAAGCGTTTCGTTTCGTTTTGTTTTAACCTATTGTTGCTTCTCTACATAGTTTTGCCCTATTTCATGATGATTTGATTTGTCCCTGAGGATAAGGATGGTCCAGAGGTTGGACCAAACAAAATAGCCATAGAACTCAATTTGAGGGTCATTGTAACCATTCTACTTAAAACCATCCTCCTTTTTCCTAGGTAGAAGTCCCAATCTTGACCCAAGTGTGTTACCCTTTAAACCTACTCATTTACTAATTTAACAACTTGCATTAAGTAAGTTAAAATAGAATGCCTAGCTAGTTATTGACCTTTTTTTTTTTTTTCCTATTTCAGAATGATCTGTCTCAGTTACAGGTGTTAATACAGAAGTGGAGAAGCTGTAGCCAGATGTTGCTTTATGAGTTGCAGTCAGCTATGTCTGAGGAGAACAACAAACTCAGCCTTACTCAGTTGATAGACCACTGTGGGTTAGATGATAAATTGCTACACTATAACAGAAATGAAGAAGAATTTATCGGTGTTTAATTCATAATTTTTTCTCCAGAATATTTTTGAGAATGACAACTTAAAAGATAATACATTTTAAAAGGAAGGTAGAAACCATTAGGGCCTAGAGAAAGGTATCTTGATGAACATCAATTTAGGGTACTCTGTTATATAAATATAAAATAAGTTCTAAAATGAAAATTTAGTATTTTGGATAAATTTGCCAAAGAAAACTTGACATTTAAAGAAATGTGAAAAAAAATTAAATCATGTTTAAAAAATAATTTGGTCATTTCTGGAAGTCAAATTTAATACATTGTTTTGTTTACTGTGGTAAAAAAGTTCTATTTTTTTTTAAGGTTTTATTTTAAATGTTAAGAAATAGTTCAGTCTGGTTAATGTCTAAACCTAAAGTGGTCTAAAAATGCCTGCCTGCCTCCTAAGTTTATGAACTGTGTTTTTATCCATTTACCACATATTTCCTTCTGGATGGTGTAGCAGGTAATTAAAGTTGTTCATATGTCCAAAATTTTATTCTTCCCTGTCTTTTCAAATTTGTTTATTGTATTCTTCATCTCATTTAGTGAAATCGCCATCTCTTAAAACAACATATGCTCATCCCCCACCTCAAGGTATACAAGGTCCTTCACATTTGTTTAGCTTTCTAGCTGCATCTATTCAGTTCATAGTGACTCCTCAGCCAGAAACCCACCTTCATAGGGTTGTGTTTCTGGCTGCTACATTGTACAATGCTACCCATCCTTGGGGCTTTATACAGAGATATGGCCCAAGCTGGCCCAGTCTGAGAGTTGGAATTGTGCTCAGGAAAAGAAAGCCCATTTCTTTTTGTGACTGAAGCTGTTGTAGGTAAATTTGGAAGCAGAAAAGCTGGTGTGCTAAGAAGGATAGTATGTGCCCTTACTAAGAAAGGCAAAGATGTTAGATGGAGAGAGAGCTTTGTGGATCATTGGCTTCCTGGTTCTATTATCCAGTCCTTCCTGAGGGCCTTCTGGATTTCTGCTTTTGGGTCCTTTTAAGGGCTAAAACAGCTTTACTTAGTTAAAAAAGAAAAAAAAAAATCCTGAAACTACTTCCCTACTAGTAGATAAATAGCCACTACCCTGAGGCCCCTCCTCCACGTGTGCCCCATTTTTGGCCCAGTTCCGCCCCATGATCTAACGAACCATCAATATTTGGCATAGCAGGAGACCTTAGGACCCTGCTCTTGCATCCATTCTAATTGTTAGTGTCCATGCTGGTACTACCCTTCCCCCTTGCCACACACCCCCGTCTCGCCACACACACAAATTCTACCTTCTAGACACTGCCATTGTCATTAGCTGCCATGACCCCAAGAGGACTGACCCAGGCTTCACATGGGCCTCCCCTGACCCTGAGATTCCTAGATGGGTATCCCTAGGGACCTGTGCTGTTGTGAGCCTACCAGCCTCCATTGCTGCTTGCTACACAGCTAGGAAGCCTAAATGTGGCATGGGAAGTGGTTTCCCTAGTGATGGTGCTGGTATTTGGCTGCAGCTACTTACTGTTGATTAGCATATCCCCTGGAGTCACCCTCGAATGTCCACTTGGAGGAACTACAGCATCAGTGGGACTCTAGTTCTGGGAGAGTTGGGGAGAGCAGATGGGGACATAGTAATGGGCATTTCCAAGGCACTAGCTGGGTGCTTAGGGCTCTAGCAGCACAATGGACACTCCTGCAACGGGAGGTGGGTCATGGAACATGGATCAGGCTTATGGGAGAGTTTGATGACCAAGATGCCCATGAGGCGGGACCCTTTTTTATAATTTCTGTTGAATTTCACCTCTATTTAATGGGATACATTTATTTTAAAAATCACTGAATACTATATTTTTATTCATAAAAATGAAAGCTACCACTCAGCATTGCTTTGTGCCAGTTTAAAAAGTATGTTAACTCATTTGAGTATTAAAATTATTGGCATCCCATTTTAAAGATGAGGAAATTTAAGATAAAGGAATTATTTAAAAACTAAATAGTTATTTAAAGTTCAAGTGGCAGAGCCAAGATTTGAAACCAGGCAACCCAGCAAGAGAGCCCTACTAAGAGCCATGCTATATTTGACTCAGTTAATTATATTACTACTTGATAATATAGATAATTTAAAGAACTATAAAAATATAATTGCTGTTAGTTCAGCAGAAGGTAAGAGGAATCAGTACCATGGACAGTATCTAGAGTGGGTTGGGGTAGATGACCATGTGCCCTTCCAAAGCCAACCCCCAAAACCAGAAGATGTCTCCTGTTGAAAGGTGCTGCTAGTAGAATATAGCTTGCAGACAGGAGATTTCTGCTAACCTCCACTCTATCTATGCCTCAAAGCAAAAAGCTTGAATTATCAGAGTCACCCAGGGTAGCCACCAAGAAATAGAAATTAAATAGGGTGTTAAGATCTAGGAATCCATGATGAAATTTGTGGCATTGACTATTAGCAAATGGAGCCTAATAAGGCAACTAACTAATCCTGGTCACCTAGAATTTATATCACCAGAAAAAATGGAGAGAAAAAAAGCCTAGTAGAACCATGATTGACTCAAACCAAGAGGACAAAGAACTTTGCCAATCTCATCATAAGTACAAAGTATTTGTACTCTTCACACGCTTCACCCTTGGGTCCAGCCTCCCACCCCCACAATCACCTTCTCAGAGATAATTGTGAAGGATCCGAGATGTAGGAAATGTTACCAGTGGGCACTTGTCTGCTGAATCAGCCAAATAAACTACTTGAGGAGTCATTCTGGTACTAAGGAGGGCTATCAAAATTGATGTTGGGCCTATTATTTCTCTTACATTCCCCCCAGCATTGATCAGTATATGGGTGATCAATTATGGTACTACCCTAGCAGTCTGTAGAAGATTTTAAATCTCTCTCTTTTAAGATTTTATTTATTTATTTGACACAGAGAGAGACAGCGAGAGAGGGAACACAAGTAGGGGGAGTGGGAAAGGGAGAAGCAGGCTTCCTGCCGAGCAGGGAGCCCGATGCGGGGCTTGATCCCAGGACCCTGAGATCATGACCTGAGCCGAAGGCAGTCGCTTAACCAACTGAGCCACCTAGGTGCCCCGAAGATTTTAAATATCTTAAAGATTTTTTTTTTTAGAAGGTTTTATGATAATAGCTCTCTTGCTTTACCTACACCTATGCACATTGGATATGCTGTTGCAGATTACATTTAACATTTAATTCACCGATTTCAGAAGAATGAGACCATGACATTACTTGGAGATTGTGGTCCAGGATCCCAATGGTATCATCTTGGAATGCAGCAGTCCACAGGCTACGGAAGGGGGAAGTAGTTTCCTGACCATTTAATCTTCTCATTATTTAGTTATCATCATCTATTACAATGAATATGCAATGTAGAAGACTATGTTATGTTTATGCAGAAAAAAATACGTTGTACTTTTCAAACGATTTAAGGCTTGGTAAAAGGAAACAGTTCACTTTGTTCTCATTGCTAGAACTGGCAATAATCCTAAATGTTCTGAGACATTTTTTTCTGATTATAGAAGAAATGCTTGCTGAAGAAAACTTGGGAAATATAGAAAAATATAAAAATCATCCATTAACTCATAAGTTTTCTGGTAATTTTATAAAATTAGAAATGCCAGGAGTGGCTAAGAATTTTTTGTCTTTATGATAAAAATTAAGATTAAATGAATAAATGAGTAAAATACATCTTGAATATTTTCAGTTCATTCTTGAACAAAAACAATTCATGATATTTTACACATTCATGCAAGACAAACATTTTATAATGATTAAGATAGAAATTAGATAATTTGCTATTAAAAATATGTAACTAAGAAGAAGTTCTACTTAAATATCCTGAAATGGGAGAAAAAAATCATTTTAATAAAGTGAAATTATTTTTTAAATGATTGATTGCCTTGTGTTTCCCACCAGCATTTTTATATTTGAACAAGAGCAGGAAATGTTTTCATCCTTAATCGTTCAACTTCAGCCTGCAGTATTGAAATCTGTTCAGCTTGTTGTTTTGCAATATTTGTTAACTTTTGTTGTTGCATCATGTTTTCATATCGTTCTTTGGCAATTTTTTCACAAGTCAGTTTAGACCCTACCCCAAAAATGAAGAAGAAAAGAATTAGTTGTATTATTATCTATACTTTCAAATATAGAAACAGCACTTGGAATCAATTAAACATGTAGAAGAAATGCTGGTAGCTTTCTAACTACTGACCAGATTTCAGGAATAGTGATTACTTTTTTTTTTTTAAAGATTTTATTTATTTATTTATTTGAGACAGAATGAGAGACAGAGAGCATGAGAGGGAGGAGGGTCAGAGGGAGAAGCAGACTCCCTGCCGAGCAGGGAGCCCGATGTGGGACTCGATCCCGGGACTCCAGGATCATGACCTGAGCCGAAGGCAGTCGCCCAACCAACTGAGCCACCCAGGCGCCCAGGAATAGTGATTACTTTTAAAGAAACCTACAGTTGAGTAAAGAAAAAATATTCTTACCCATTGCATTACAGATGTCTTTTCTCTCTGAGACAGCCACCAACTCTTCTCGTAAATTGCAGCTTAGAGTATAATTTGCTACATCTTTTTGATTGCTGTACCTTCCCAGTTTTTTTAGTAGTTTTTTGCAGTTTTCCACATTCTTTTTGTGGGTCTGAAATTTTTGTTCCCATGACACCCCACAAAAATAATTTTGAAAAAAAGTATTTTACAAAGACATTATTTTTTAAATTTAAATTCATTATTATTGAGATATCATCTTATCACCATATCCCTATTGCCTAACATAATGCCTGAACATAGTAGTTAACTAAACTGTTTAAAGATAGAGTGGTATTTTAATATGACATTTTAGAAAAAATCTTGTATATTCTTAAAAATGAGAGATTAAAAAAATACATAGCCTTGAGATTACTTTGTTTCCATCTTACATATGCTAGACAAGCTTAGCTTGTCTAGCATATATACAAAACAAAACAAAATTTGTTAAGCAGTAATGAAAAAACAAAGGCTTTATAAAGCCCAAGAAAGACTATCAACACTTGTTACATAAATCACAACTTAATGTGAAATTGGAAATTCATGTACACTCAGATATCTCCCAGGGGTTAATTCTAATATTAAAAGAAGTACTTCAGTCTCCCACACTTTTTATGGTTGCAAAGACACTATTCAGGGGCCTCTAATTAGATCCTGAATGTCAGTAATGGACCACGATTTTATTAGGTTCTGTTTGAATTCATGACTTGGAACACTATGGCTTTGCTCAAATAATTCAAAACTGTTGGGATTATAATGATCAATACCTTTGAGACCTACCTTCTCTAAAACAGCAATGGTTTGCTCCATTATTCCAATTTGAATGGCAATCAGAGTCTCATAGTTTGGTTCATTTAGGTACTTGGAGAAGAAAAAGACCCCACAAAATATGTAAGAATATTTTACTCTATTCTTTCAATAGATAACTTTATAAAACATTCTTAATTTTGAAAGTTACCATTTTCATAAAAATTATCTAAGATTGATTTGACTTTCGTGCCATGATATTTAATTGTATTTAGCTATTGATACACTCACTTGTATATTAATAATTACAAATGCCTAGAGTTTATTTTCTCATTCATTTATTCAACTCACCAAATATTTATTAAGTGTCTCATTTGAGCCCTGTATTAATAGTGTTCCAGTTAAAGATACTAAGGGAGATACAAAGATAGATAACATGACTTTAGCTTTCAAAAAAAAGAGCATGTAGATATGATTAGTTGCCAGAAAATATGTAAAGTGACATGCAAATTCAAAGGTGGTTTGGGAAAGGATGTGGTTTTTCTGGACTGGGGAAATCCAGAGGCTTTTTGAGCAGGTGGCATTTAAATTAGACCTTGAAAAATAGATTTGGGATGTGAAAAATGTGAGGAAAGGTATTTCGCGGTTGAAGAACCAGTAATGAGAAAAGGCACAGAAGGAATATCTAGATATTCCTAGAAAATATCAATCAGTTTGTTTTGAGAATACTAATGTATAAGAGGAACAGTGGAAATGAATTTGAAAAGTTAGGTTGAAGGATGCAGATCCTCCACCTAAAGATTTCATAATTCATTTGCCAGGTAAGAAGTTGCAGTTTAAAATGTTTGAGCAGAGTAGTAAGGTTATTAGAGCTGAACAGCAATATTAATCTGACAGCAACATACAGTATAAATTAGATAAGAGAAGGCCCAAGGGTCAAGAGACCAGCTAGGAGATTTTTTTAAAAAGTTTAATATTATTGTGATTTTTTTAGTAATCTCTACACCCAATATGAGGCTTGAACTTACGACCTTGAGATCAAGAGTTGCATGCTATTCCAACTAAGCCCGCCAGGTGCCCCCAGTTGGATTATTATACAATAGTCTAAATCATGGAAAAGAAAAACTGAGCCAGGCTAACAGCAGTGGGGATAAAGAAGGAGGGAATAAGTAGATAAACTAGGCAAGACTTGGAAGACGGGAGAGGGGAATCAAAGACGACAACAACTAGAAGCCTGAGTAAGTGGTTGAAAAGAACAGAAATAAGCATATTAAGAAGGGTTGCTGTTGGGAGGTGGGAATGTAGAAATAGAGCTTGAGGGAGATCAGGAACTGAGAACTTGGATTGGTCTTTTAGAAGTGATCACTGAAGTTAGAAAAATCAAGATCAGCAAAGGAGAGGGCATGGAAGGAAACAGAGCAAAAGGCAGGATCATAAAGAATAGTTATATATAAGAGTTAGGGGGCGCCTGGGTGGCACGGTCGGTTGAACATCTGACTCTTGATTTCGGCTCAGGTCGTGATCTCTAGGTTGTGAGATTAAGCCCCGAGTGGGGATCCCCACTCAGTGCAGAGTCTGCTTCAGATTCTCTCTCCCTCTGCCCCTCCCACTTGTGCTCTTTCTCTCTCTCTCAAATAAATAAATAAATCTTAAAAAAAAAAAAAAAGGGCTAGAAGCAAAAGAGAATTCAGTAAAAGAGGCAGAGTGGCCTGACATGTTGGAAGAAAAACAGCAGAAAACAGGGTTGAAAAAAGCCAGAGGAATGGGCAATTAAGATGGTCAAATGCTACTAACAGTTGCATGATGGTGATGACTGGGGGACAGACCACTGGATTTGACAATTAGGAAATCATCAGAAGACAAAGAATTCATAGACACATCATGAAAAACTACTGGCTTAGAATGTGCTTGATATTACAGAGGTGTCTTATTAAATACTGTTTGAATGAATACATTAATGAATGAAATTAAAATTATATAGTGGGGCAGGGAGAACTTACCTTTTGACGATCTCTTGAAAAAAACAGCATCTGAATATCCCAAGCCTTCTGATTTAGATCTTCCATTTCCATCTCCATTTTCTTATGTTCCCACTCAATCTGAAATATTCCTTTGTGGACATCTTTACTTTCCATCATACTAGCAACTTTCTTTTGTCCTTGAGTCTTGAAAAAAAAAAAAGGGCGCCTGGGTGGCTCAGTTGGTTAAGCGACTGCCTTCGGCTCAGGTCATGATCCTGGAGTCCCGGGATCGAGTCCCGCATCGGGCTCCCTGCTCAGTGGAGAGCCTGCTTCTGCCTCTCTCTGCCTGCCTCTCTGCCTACTTGTGCTTTCTCTCTGTGTGTCAAATAAATAAATAAAATCTTTAAAAAAAAAAAAAGTAGGTTTTGATATTCATAGGACTCTACATACAGAATACAGAATATCTGAAGCTGAATGCTATTCTTAGAAAACACTTGGATCACAGAGGTAATTCTTTTTTTGGAAATTATTTTAATTAATTATTTTTTTGAGAGAGAAAGAGTGCATGCATGAGTGGTGTGAGGGGACAGAGGGAGAGGGAGAGAGAGAATCTTAAGCAGGCTTCATGGCCAGTGTGGAGCCCCACGCAAAGCTGGATTTCACGACCCTGAGCCGAAATCAAGAGTCAGACACTTAACTGACTGGCCACACAGATGCCCCTCTATCTTCTTTTTAAAAATGTAGCAGATATTAAAAAATTACCGATCACTAAAAAGCTGATAGGTACTAAACAGAAAGGATTAAAAAATATATATAAACAGCATAGCCAATTTACTTTATATGTCAGTAATTAGGCAGGAACGCTTTTTGCCATCACCAGTCTACCAGGCTGTATGCATTTGTACCCCTACTCTCTACCCTGCTTCCTGACACTATAGACAAAGGACCGTAGTTTAATGCAGCCAGGCACAACAGTATCTGATTGGTAGCTAGTGGATAAGCAAAAAAATAAAATAAAATAAAATTGAGTGGGTTAAATATATTTAAACATCGAGATATTTTGCACTTCACTTCAAATTGTGTAAATGAAGTTCAGGAATATTTTCATGAAGTTGTTTTCCCAGATTGCTAATAGTGAAACTCTTATGTCTCTAAAATAAATTTATATGAGTTCCATCAGTTAACATTTTACATCTTTCTTAAAAAACTTAGCTTTTTGAAGTTCATGCCATTATATTATACCATACCTTTCTTAAAGGTACTCTTTTTAAAAATTATTTTCCATCATGCTACTCTTTTTAAAAATTATTTTCATCTTCTGATCACTGCTTGGCCTCTCAATTCCTTGAATTTCTCACTTTCAATGATCTCTTCTCCATCTTACTCAGACACTCAAATCCCACAATTAAACCCTTGATCTTGTTGTATGTAACAGCTCCAAAATCTTAAGTTCAAGCATTTCTCTAGGTTAGTGTTTCTCAAATGTTGGAGATATTGCCCTCCCATAGGAAATTAAGATTATGTTTGCAGAAATGTTTGGCTGACACACCTGGAGGGAGGTGTTGCTACTGGCATCTAGAGGGTAGATGCCAGGGATGCTACTAAACTTTATGCAATACACAGGACATAATCATCTGGCCCAGAATGTCAGTAGTGCCAAGGTTAAAAAACACTGCTGTAGAGCTACCACATCTTTCTGTTCTCCTTTTGGTCAACTTTTTTTTCTAAGATTTATTTATAGTCACCATCTCTACAACCTCACTTCATATTATCTCTTCAACCACAGCCAATTGACCTTCTGCTCCAACTTTCCACTGAGACTGCTCTTGTCAAGGAACTGACAATAGTGCATGAGTCCCTTGTCCTTGGAGCCATTTCTCTCATGGTTTTCAGGTTTCCTCCTTCATTGGCAACTCCTTCTCTGCTAGATCTATCAGAGTTGGACTTTGGGCATTGGCCAAAGTCCCATTCCTAGGTGGTCTCAAGCATGCTCATGGCTTAAATTATCCATATGTAAATATCTATATGTAATAATCCATATGTAGTTATCTGTATGTGATCTATATATAGAATACTTCTAAATTTATATCTCAGCTCTAAATTCTGTCCAGTTGATATTTCCATTGGAATGGTTTTTAAAAAAATTTATTTATTTGAGAGAGAGGGAGGGAGAGGGAGAGCATCACAGGAGTGGGGAGGGACAGAGTGAAAGGGAGAGAGAGAATCTCCAGAAGACTCCCCACTGAGCAAGGAGCCATTTGTGGGGCTCGATCCCATGACCCTGAGATCATGACCTGAGCCGAAATCAAGAGCTCAAGCCACCCAGGTGCCCCTCCGTTGGAATGTTTTGTGTGCATCTCAAATTTAACAAAGTCCAAAACTCTTCGTTTTATGTCCCAGCCAAAGCTACATGTCTATAGTCGTTCTCATGTCAGTTAATGACACTATCATCTACTCAGTTGCTCAAAAGCCAACATTTTAGGATTTATTCTTGATCCTTCTTTTACCATTCACTTTGAATCCATCAGCAGTTTTGATAATGATTTTTGCACTTACACTAACAACAAAATATGAAGAGAATTTAAGATACTCTGAGAAAATAAAGCTGATGGAGTTCCTCATTAGTAGACCGGCTATACCAGAAATGCTAAAGGGAGTCCTTCAACCTGAAATCAAAAGGCACTAGACAGTAACTCAAAGTCATAAGAAGAAATAAAAAAAAACCCAGAACACTAAAAGTAAAATGCAACTACACAGTAGATATAAAAGTCAGTATTGTTGTATTTTTTGTTTGTAAGTACTCTTTTTTCCTCTATTATATAAAAGAAAAATGCACCAAACAGTAATTATAAATCTATGTTAATGGACACATAATGCATAAAGATGTAATTTGTGACAATAACAACAGAAAAGGGGAGGAACAGAATTGTACTGGAGTAGAGTTTTATATACTAGTGAAACTAAGTTGGTGCTAATTTGAATTAGTTTGTTATAAAACTAAGATGTCAATTGTAATTCCTATGGTAACCACTAAGAACACAACTAAAATGTATATAGAAAAGTAAAAGACAAGGGGATCAAAATGGTACGCTGCAAAAAAATCAACTATATATAAAACAAGACAATAATGGAGGGATTGAGGAACCAGAAAATATGATAGAAAACACATAACAAAATAGTAAAGTCCCCCCCCTTTTTTACACTAACAATTACTTTAAATGTAAATGGATTAAACTCTATAAGTAAAAGGCAGAGATAGGCACAATGGATTAAAAAAATGATCCAATGATATTCTGTCTAGAAGAGATTCACGTTAGATTCAGTGAAACAAACAGCTTGAAAGTGAAAGGATGGAAAGATACCATCTGTGCAAATTGTAATCAAAAGACAGCTGGGGGGGCTATACTAATATCACATAAGCACATTATTTGCTGATAAGAAGCCAACCCTTCAAGAAGATATAGCAATTATAAACACATATGCACTAAAATCAGAGCCCCCAAATATATGAAGCAAAACCCAACAGAATTGAAGGAGAAATAGTTCCATAATAGTAATTGGAGATTTCACCATCCCACTTTCAATAATGAATAGAGCAAGTATACAGAAGATCAATAAGGAAATAGAGGATTTGAACACTATAAACTAATTAGGCCTAAGAGACATACACAGAACACACCACTCAATAATAGCAGAATACACATTCTTTGCAATTGCAAATGAAACATTCTCTTTTTTTTTTTTTTAAAGATTTTATTTATTTATTTGACAGAGAGAGACAGTGAGAGCAGAAATACAAGCAGGGGGAGTGGGAGAGGGAGAAGCAGGCTTCCTGATGAGCAGGGAGCCTGATGTGGGACTTGATCCCAGAACTCTGGGATCATGACCTGAGCCGAAGGCAGACGCTTAACAACTGAGCCACCCAGGCACCCGCAAATGAAACATTCTCAAGTATAGATCATATGTTAGGTCGTAAAATGAATCCTAATAAATTTTAGAAGATTGAAATCATACAATCATACATACATGTTCTGACCACTAGGTAATGAAACTAGAAATCAATAACAGAAGGAAAAGTGGAATATTCACAAATATGTAGAAATTAAATGACACATTTTAAAATAATAGGTCAAAGAAGAAATCACAAAGGGGATACTAGAAAATACTTTGAAATGAATGAAAGTGAAAACATAACATACCAAAACTTATGAGATGCATCTAAACCAGTATTCATAGGGAAACTTATAGCTATAAGCACCTAAAATCAAGGACATTACTACTAACCTTACAGAATTTAATAAGATTATAAGGGAATACTATAATAATTGTACTCCAACAAATTAGATAAACCTAGATGAAATAGAAAAAAAATTCTATAAACACACAAACTACAAAAACTAACTCAAAGAGTAACAGAAAATCTGAATAAACCTATACTAACTAAAGATCGAATCAGAATAAAAAAACCTCCTGGGGCGCCTGGGTGGCTCAGTTGGTTGGGCGACTGCCTTCAGCTCAGGTCACGATCCTGGAGTCCCGGGATCGAGTCCCGCATCGGGCTCCCTGCTCGGCGGGGAGTCTGCTTCTCCCTCTGACCCTCCTCCCTCTCATGCTCTCTGTCTCTCATTCTCTCTCTCTCAAATAAATAAATAAAATCTTTAAAAAAAAAAACAAAAAAACCTCCCAACAAAATAAAAAGCCCAAGACCAGAAGTCTTCACTGGTGAATTCTACCAAATATTCAAAGAAGAATTAATACCAATCCTTCTCAAACTCCTTAAAAAAATAGAAGAGGAGGGAACACTTCCCAACTCATTCTACAAGACCAGCATTACCCTGATACCAAAGCCAGACAAGGACACCCCAAGAAAAGAAAATTACAGGCCCATATCCCTGATGAAAATAGATGTATAAGTCCTCAATAAAATATTAGCAAACCAAATTAAACAGCGTGTTAAAAGGATTGTATACTCATACACACACTCCTAGCCATATGTTCAAACTTCTGAAAACCAAGATAAAGAGAAAAGCCCAAAGGCAGACATATTACATTAGAAGGAACAAAGATTTAAAAATACATAGTAGACTGGGTGCCTGGGTGGCTCAGATGGTTAAGCGTCTGCCTTCGGCTCAGGTCATGATCCCAGGGTCCTGGGATCGAGTCCCGCATCGGGCTCCCTGCTAGGCAGGGAGCCTGCTTCTCTCCCTCTGCCTCTGCCTCTCTCTCTCTGACTTTCATGAATAAATAAATTTAAAAAAAAAATTAAAAAAAAATACATAGAAGACTTCTTGTCAGAAGCACTGTAAGTCAGAAGAAAATGAACACCTTTAAAGTGAAAAGGATGAGGAAAAGAGCGAAAAAAATCTTCCAATCCAGGGAACCTAGCAAACTATCAACAATGAAGGTGAATCAAAGACAATTTCAGACAAAACTTAGAGAATTCAATACAGGCAAACTTGCAATTCAGTTAAAAGAGGTTCTTTAAGTAGAAGATATATGGTATAAGACAGATACTTTAATCCCTACAAAGATGATTTCTTGAAATAGTGAAAATGAAGGGAAATAGAAAATGCTTTCTTCTTACTTTTCATCACTCTAAAAGATAATTTTTTTTTTCTCTAAGATTTTATTTATTTATTTGACAGAGAGAGACACAGCGAGAGAGGGAACACAAGCAGGGGAAGTGGGAGAAGGAGAAGCAGGCTCCCCGCGGAGCAGGGAGCCCGACGCGGGGCTCGATCCCAGAACTCTGGGATCATGACCTGAGCCGAAGGCAGACGCTTAACCGACTGAGCCACCCAGGCGCCCCTCTAAAACATAATTATCTAAAGCAAAAATGATGGCAGTGTTTTGTGGATTTAGAGTATTTGTAAAAGTAAAATGTATGGCAACATTAGCACATAATTCCCAAATAGTGCAAAATCCCCAAATATTTGGAAATTAAATAACACTTCTAAATAGCCCATAAGTCAAAAAGGAAGTTACATGGGAAATTAGAAAATATTTTAAATGGAAAGAAAATGAAAAGACAAAATATCAAAATTTGCATAATACTGCTAAAATCATGCTTAGAGACAAATTATAACATTAAATGCTTATATTAGAAAATAAGCAAGGTCTGAAATCAGTGATCTAATCTTATCTAAAATTATCATTAGGTGAGTAGACTGAGCTTAACAAAATGAAGGCATATTAGAATGAACATTTAACTTTGTAGTGCTGGACTTCTTATAACTTAGAATCATCTGGGAGGCTTTTAAAAAATACCATGCCTCGGGGTGGGGCCTGGACACATTTGTAAAGTTCTCCAGGTGATTCTAATGTACAGCCAGACTTAGGAACCACTGATTTAACTGAATGAAAATGATTTATCATGGAAATGGGAGAAAAATGAACAAATTTGGTACAGCAGGTTATTCTGTTGGCTTTCTTCTTTTTTTTTTTTAAAGATTTTATTTATTTGAGAGAGAGAGAACACATGAGAGGGGATAGGGTCAGAGGACTAAGCAGACTCCCTGCCAAGCAGGGAGCCCGATGCGGGACTCGATCCAGGGACTCCAGGATCATGACCTGAGCTGAAGGCAGTCGCTTAACCAACTGAGCCACCCAGGCGCCCCTCTGTTGGCTTTCTTCTTAAAAAATGATAATTACCCGAATCACGGAATTCAAGTCTTCAATTATGTTCTTGTTGATGAGAATTGCATCAGGATATTCCAGCAATAACTGAAAATTTTCCAGCTCCACTTGTCCTTGTTTAAGGAGAATTTGGATTGTCAAATTCAACTGGAATCTCACTTTCTCTTCCTGCAATCTACATTGAGAAGACTTCAAAGTAAGTAGTTGTAATATATTTATATTTCAAATTTCATCTATTATCCGAGAACATAAAATTCAAACTTAATTTTCAACTTGAATTTCAAACTTAAGCTGAAGGAAAACCTGCTGAGATTAATGCAGAACATCTTTTCCTGATAATGAGCTTCCTTGGAGGTCTCTATGATACCTCCTCTTGTTGATATGGAATTACACTTGGGCTGCTCAAAGAATGGCATGGACAGAAATGCATTCACAAAGTTTTACTTTATGATTAAGAAAGGATTAATATAATTTTGGTTGTAAGTGGAAAAAAACTGAGATGCTACCAAATAACACATCTATTAAAGTTCTGACTTTATGTATTAACTTCTGATATTTTATTAACAATGTTTAATCTATATGCTACTTATATCTATTTCTGGCTAAGTCCCATTCCTCCTTAGAGCCTAGACCTGAGGATGATGTATCATGATGAATTTGGGAACACCAGGAAGCATTTATCAAAGTGGCTGCAAATATGGAAAAAGTGAATCAAGGACTTAGAACAGTATCCCAACCACTCAGCAAAATACAATCTCTCTTAAAGAAAAAGATATTAGCTGGTTAGTTGTCTACATGTGAATTTCTTGGATATCTGCCTAATTTTCCAGAGTTTGCTTGTGTGGCTTGAGCCCAAAGGTGCTGACTAGCAGAAACAAATTCTTTGTACTGTATTTATGTGGAAGGAGCAGGTTAAAAAATAGAAAGGTTTTCCCAAAACTTGCCTATTTCTAATAAGAGCAATGGAACCTGTAGGTAAGTTCCATTCTGAAGTAAGGTCTTTGGTAACAAAATGCACTTTTTCAAGGAGAATTTATAAAGCCCAGCAAGAGAGACCAGTCTGTGCCACCTGGAAACCAGCGAGTAAGCTTTCTCTCCCCATGACAACACAATCTAACTTAGCCCTAGCTTAGACTCTGTGTAAATGAACATGGATGAAAAGTTGAAATTACACCATGAGTTCATGGAACACTTTTTCAATTTCCTGTTGCAACTTATCATCATCCTCTGTTCTCCTCCGCAGAAAAGCCATCATTTCCATTAAGCCGGCCGCTTTCTGCTTTACCTGAAGGAACCAAACCACAAAATCTTAGAGCATGTGGGGCTTTAGAAATAAAAGCAAACTAATTTTAAAGAACTTTAGAAAACATAGATGTTTTACTTAGTTACAAAGCCTTATTAACAAGCCCATTTTTCTAGATTAATAAAAATTTAAAGCCCTGCCATGATGTTATGTAAGACACCTAAAACTTACATGTTACATTCCATGAATATTTTGAAAAATATTAAACTTGCTTCTCACTAAAAATCAAATATGCAAGAAACTGTAATTTTCCTTATATATATATATCTTATTTTAAAATTTGTTCTCATCATCTCAGATAAAATGATAAAATCATAGATTCCTCAACAAAAATATGCCAGTCTGATGTTTGTGGCGCTGAATTTAGGGAATTTTGGGGAGGGGAGGCAGAGGGTGGTCCAGAAACAGCAAAAGGAAGGAATCTTTTCTCAACTAATACATTCTCAAATTGTTACCTTTGCCACATTAAAAAAATAGTCTAGCAAATATAAAGTAGGTTCTAGTGAAATATAATTCTAATCTATGCAAAAAGGGATGAGGACAACTCAAGACCAGGGCAGAGAGAAAGGAAGTTGTGTCTACGACAGTGCTGCCCAAGAGAAATACAATGAGAGCCACATATTTAATTTTCAATTTTGCAGGAGCCACATTATAAAATGTGAAATGAAACAGGTGAAATTAATTTCACTAATATATTTTATTTAATACAATATATCCCAAACATCATTTCAACTGTAATGAATATAAAAAAAATTGAGACATTTTCCATTCCTTTTTCGTACTACTTACAACATGTCTCAATCAGGACTGGCCACATTATTTCAAGTAAACAATAACCACATGTGGCTAGGGGCCACCATTTTGGACAGCATGGGCTTAGAAGTATAGACTTATACTTAGCCCTCAATGCCATTAAGGTTAATATTATTTCATCATTATTATTACTAATGTTACTAACTACTACCTTAGCAGGAAAACCTAAATAATTAGCATTTCCGGAAGCACTGGTCACTATAAACTATATATTTGATATTAGTACACTAAGTGAAATGAAATGACATTGAAATGGAATAAAATAAGATGTTATTATATACTTTCTGTTCATTTTCCACTTTCGCTCGTCTGGTCATGCAGAAATGATCCCAGACCGAGGGATCCAAGCCTTCTGGCATGTTACTAATATTGTCCAAGTCATCCATGGCTTTCATTAACTGGACAAAGGCATCCTTATTCAATTTCCCAGATTCTGGTCGCTCTCCGAAAGGCACAATGCTGGCGGGATCTGAGTGCATTTTCTGTTTGTGAATCCTGGTATTGCCAATAAAAACCCATCAACCTTTCACATTCTCACACACAAGAAATCAATGTTAAATTATACAACCCTTAGCATCGGTATGACATTGCATGACACTTTCTTTTGGCAAGTGGACGCTGGTGGGTGGATTATTCCAAAGAGAAAAGCACCCATTTTGACCTTCTTCCATACTCCCTGGATGCCCAGGCATGACCTTGGCTGGCCTACTGATGTCCCTAACTGTTGTCAGAACTGGCAGCTTTACCTGTACTAAAGAAGTCTCCCTTCTGTGTATTTTAAGCAGGAAAGTAAATGCCCAAGAGGAGTATGGATACTCCCTGGTTATGTCCCACATATCCTCGGCCAGTATCCTTTTTACAGATGAGTAGCCTGGAATATTTCTGATATAAACTGAACTGGAGAAGCACCTTTTAAAATCTACATTAATGCATTAGTTTTGTTTCCCTGGGCTGTGGCTGGGAAAGGAAGAAAGGTACAAAGATTTATACCAGACACTCACTATCTAGATGCTTTACAGTATGCTGTGAAGTTACTATTGTTATCCTCTTTCTCTAGATGAAGAAAGTCTGAGAGAAGCTATTGGTCCAAGACCACAGGTCTGATAGATGGTAGAGCTAGGATTTAAAGCTAATTCTGTTTGGCATGAAGGCTTATGCTCTTTCCACTGCTGCCTCCCAGTGTGTGGGAAGTGTTGCTTCTTTCTTCACAAGACTTATTAGGACTCACTCCTTTAAAAATAGGGAAACCAAGATACGGTTGAATTTCCTGGGTTGTGTGTAACCTGTTAAAAGTGAGAGAATGAGTTTGTATCTCAAATATGCGCCTATACAGTTGTAACAAATTCCATGATTTCTAGCTTTACCTTCGATTGAAAATTATGGAAATCTGAGTATGAAACATTTGGAAATCTGTGAAATGAATTCTAATGCTACTCTCAGTATAAAGCCCTGATTATTTTCGAACCCTTTTTGATAATGGTTATTTTCATTCATTTACACTGGCATTTTCCAAACTTTGTCTTCAACACAATCACATGAGATGCTCTGACTGGCCAAATAAGTTTGGAAAATACCGGTTACTCTATTTTTTTTTTTTTTAAAGACAGCATGCACATGTATACAAGTGGGGGGAGGGGAGGGGAGAAGCAGAGGGAGAGGCAGAATTTTTTTTTTTTTTTTTAGAATTTAACTTATTTGACAGAGAGAAAGACAGCTAGAGAGGGAACACAAGCAGGGGGAGTGGGAGAGTGAGAAGCAGGCTTCCCGCGGAGCAGGGAGCCTGACGCGGGGCTCGATCCCAGGACCCTGGGACCATGACCTGAGCCGAAGGCAGACGCTTAACTGCTGAGCCACCCAGGTGCTCCAAGAGAGGGAATCTTAAGCAGGCTCTACGCTCAGTGCTGAGCCTGACTTGGGGCTCAATCACACGACCCTGTGTGATCATGACCTGGGCCTAAATCAAGAGTCGGACGCTTAACCGACGGAGCCATCCAGGCACCCCTCTATTTTTTATACTTGGGGATCCAAAGGCCAAAAACAGGTTCTGAGAAGTTCTTTAATAAACTGTTTAACTTTTTCTTTTAACCCAGGATTTTCCCCAAACATATTTTGTCCTGGAAGCCTTTTATGTGTAATTCCAATTCATACAACAAGGGCCTCATATTTGCTAGAACACATCTTGGGAAAAATTATAGATCTGTATACCACCAATATCTTAAGAGGAACTACTTTCATAGGCCTATGCTAACACAGTGCTTACCTAGATACTTAACTTTTTGAATAATGAAATCATTTTTCTTCATTGCTTACCTTAAGATGTAAGAATAATCTAAAAAAACCCTGAGTTATGATAAAGACACTTGAACATTTTCGCATAAAAGATGTTACACTGAATATTTCTATCTAGTTGGGATTGAAAAAGCTGAACTCTAACAACACTCCTCTTCATTTATGAACTTTTTTTCTCAGAAAAATGATAGCAAAGGAGAAACAAACCTTGGTCGGCGTTTAAAAAGTTTGTAGAGTATATCCACCTGATGACTGGGAATTTCAGAAAATTCTTTTCTAAAGCTGCGATCCAGAACCTAAGGACAGAGATATTACTGCTTGATTGCAACTTTTTTCAGAAGCCCTTTCTTTGTTGACAATATTTTTCAAGATATAGGGTTGAATTACTCTGATTTTAAAAATTCATGAAAATTTGGTTTATAAAGTAGACTTATTGAGGGTGACACTTGCTATGCAAGAATTTCTCAAAGATTTATTTTGAATAGGAAGTACCTCTGTGAATTACAAATATTATTTCATATAAGGTTCTAGAAATCATTCAGAACTAAAATTTTCACAAAATAATATTTACCAGTAAAATATGCAAGGTATTCTATTCTATTCTATTTTATTCTGTTCTTTGTTTTTTCTATCCTATTCTTTTCCTTTATAAAACTACTGGTCATACATATGATCCAATAATTCCACTACTGGGTATTTATCCAAAGAATATGAAAACACTAATTCAAAAAGATATATGCACCCCTATGTTTACTGCAGCATTATTTACAACAGCCAAATTTTGGAAGCAACACAAGAGCCCATCAATAGATGGATGGATAAATATTATATATATATGATGGAAGAATGAAATCTTGTCATTTGCAACAACATGGATAGACCTAGAGGGTATAATGTTAAGTGAAGGAGGTTAGTCAGAGAAAGACAAATACCACAAGAATTCACTCATAAATGGAATTTAAGAAACAAAACAGATGAACAAAGAGAAAAAGAGATATACAAAAAACCATACTCTTAACTATAGAGAACAAACTGATGGTTACCACAGGCGAGGTGAGTGGAGATATTAGGTGAAATAGGTGATAGGGATTAAGAATACACTTATCATGATCTATACATAATATATAGAACTGAGTAAGATATAGAATTGAATCATTATATTGTACATCTGAAACTAATATAATACTATACATTAATTATACTGGAATTAAATTTTAAATTTTTTTTTTTTTAAGATTTTATTTATTTGCGAGAGAGAGAATGAGAGACAGAGAGCATGA